TTTACTCGTATGTATGTTACATAAAACCACCTTTATGTATATTCTCATAAATGTTTGTTATGTTTGCTTAGCTGAATATAAAATCTATGCAAATTTGTATGCATTTCGCATAGTTTTTACTGTCGCCATCAACATTAGTGTTTCTAAAAAGCGGATGGGTGGCGTCGCAGGCGAGACTTTTTTCAAATTTTTTTTCTATTTTCAATTTCATGTATTCAACAGACCCTGCAGAACGCACCATATTGATTAGGAGTAGTGACTTATCTTTTGTTTGCCTTTTTCATTCCATTTCGAAAGCTTCGTTGAGTACAAATTCTATCGACGGAAACTGTGAGGCGGATGAACTTGTTAGGCAAGGTACGACCAAGCAGATTCTTCTATCAACAAATTTACATATAAATAAGCTGCATTTAGGTGGAATGATACTGTCGCAAGCACAGGCACACCTGCCCGAAATGGAATTAGAAGAGATCATGAGATATGTACTACATAAAAACGAGTGGGCATGTCCAAAGTAATAGGGGTTCGCTGAGAGGCCACTGCCTGATAGGACTATGCGTCGAAAGATGCTGCAATTGTTGCAAGGATGATGAGGAGAATAAAACGATCGTCCATCTCTTATGCAACTATTCTGCTTTGAGTTGAGCTAGGTTTCGAAATTTTGGTACCCTATTACTGGATGGTCCACCGAAGCTTATCGGTGTTAAGGTCATGGATCTAATGAGATTGATTTGAGAATCAAATTGGCTAGAGAATAAAGCCTGATGATCAAGTTTTTGTGGCAACACAATGGGTCTTAGTCAAGCCTAAGTGAATTCGATCGAAAGTCATCTCAAACTAACCGAACTTAACATCACTGAACTATTTTTTTTTTTTTTTTTTTTGTATTATGCAAAGTCACTTACGTACGCAGAGAAGCCCGAGACTATTGACCCCTCGGATGAGAATACACGAAGCGATTGTGATAACATACGGCCAAAATTGCTGCAAGAGCTGGTCGAAAACTTGACCTCTCGGCCCACCGTGGCACAGTCATATGCCCGAAGTCATTTCTAAAGCTCAGTAGCGAACCCTAATCTTGGTCGTAGTATTAAATTATATGGGTTTGAATTATTCTTGAATAGCGGTTGTATAAAAATATATCCCTAAAGCGACGAAACTCGGCTTGCTTGTTAAGACGTTCCAGAGCTTGCATGTTTGCTTACCTAAACGCATCAGTAATGGCTGCCGCACACCTGTTCCAAAGTGAAGTAAGTTTGGCTTACAAACCCATTTGGAGCATATTGTCACCTCATGATTTCTGCAGAGCCACAGCGCTGAAATATTTAGTTATCTCGCACCATTTTCAACACCGGAGGATTGGTTACCCACACTAGCTCCGATTTCTCACCCGGAACTCAACTCTGCGTTCTACTCAATATACTTATAAGCTTAAAAGAGGAATGATCAACCTGCGGTACCTCTTATGGTTTCCTATAAACTTCATACCCGTACGCCTTTTAGAGCCAAATGGTGCGATGAATAAATTCAGTGATATTATTAACATTCTCTTTTCCTTATCCCAAACATTCTCTGCCTCCTACCCCCAAGCTTAGCCAGTAAGTAGTTTCTTTTATGTACCCCACAAAGGGTTCGATTCAAAATCTCGAAATTTAATACAAAATGTTTAGAGATAAAAAATATGCAGAGTCAAATACACAACCAACTTTCAAAACTTTTAGAATTTTCATTAAAACTGCAACCTTATACCTGCAAGGTATTCCCAACTGTGTGCTTGATCGCTTTGTTTGCTCCTTCCAACGGCGCAGTTGAGAAAAAAGTTAGCACGTTTTCAAACCTCAAACCACCAGCAAAGCAACGAACCATATTTGTTGGTAGAAGAATAGAAGAGTTTGCATAAAATTTCTTCCACCTTTGATTTCGTCACAATAATAATTCAATAATTCTAGGATTTAATAAATTTGTTTCAGATTTTGGTCAGCGAACGCGCTTCCTACATAACTAAAAGTCTATGTTAATCAAAGGCGACGCATAGTTGAGCGAGCGCATGCCTCTCTTTGCGTGCGCACAAACGACCATATGCGCTGGGCATTCGTTGAGTTTTGTTTGCAAGCGCACTTATGACGTATGTATATATGTGCGTATGTATTGCTCAAAACGCGTGCGTGACCGAAATAAAGCGTTAGTGCCAATAAACTTTTTCATTCAATATTCTATGACTTATTTACATACATACATACATACATAAAGAAACACCATATTTTACGTACTCGCGTGTGTGTGTATATATAATTAATGTCTAAAAATATTGCAAAACGTTCGTTTGTTTGTGTGTTTGTTTTTTATGTAGTATGTATGTTTGTATGCCAAATAAATCGCTTTTTATTACATTTTAAAGCTTTCAATGCAATAAATTAACACATTTTTTAAAACACATACACACACTCACATATCAACGCGATATAACGTAACGAGTAATTGCACAACACTCGTACATACATAAATAACTATTGATTAGTATTAGCGTCATTTTTATTTTTTTTTTTTTTGTTTTTTTTTTTGCATCAAATTATTTCTCCCATTCCCTCGTTGAGTTTTATGCCAAGGTACTGTTAGTTATGGCTATGGCTATGAAAGAGTAAATTACAGTAGCAACAAAAAATAGATTGGCTTTAAATAGTTAACCTCGTTATGATTTTAATTCACTTTCAGCAGAGATTTAACCTTGAAATTGGTTAATTTACGTGAATGCTGAACAGTTTACCAAAAATTATTAACCATTCACCGCAACAAATGCTTACCTTTCAGATTCGAAAGTCTCCAACAACAATTTATTTCTGTTTTAAAGTTTTTGAGGTTAGATTCTAGGTAAACTTTAGCTTAATTTCCAACTCTGGTAACTTGGAAATATTCAGGATCTGCCTCCTGAGACGTCCTTAAGACTGCTTTAATATAGATTCCCTTTCTTCGCATGCAATCTCTAGTTAGTTACAGACTCTGGAAAGCAGTCAAAGTTCCATGTCATTGCGACCAAATTCATTCAAAGCAGGCTTTCTAGTCGAAAGTGATACTCTCAACCGTCGAAAAAAGATATTAGGTCAAGTAAATAGTTCGTTTTTTTATTATTGTTATTATATTATTTTTGTTATTTTTATATTGATTTTTCAAAATATGATAAATTTGTCAGATTTAAGTCAAATATGTGCCGTTTTGTTCGTAAATTTGTTGCCAACGAGATGCCAACTTCATTATACCTCTCTCGTAGAAGTCTGCATCCCTATTGGCAGAAGACTCAGAGAGCCAATTTTCACAGGCCTCTCTTGAGGCCAACTTCTCACCATTAAGCGCTTTCGCCATGAACAGGAAAAGATGGTAATCACTTGGTGTCAGGTCCACGCTATAAGGTGGATGCATTAGCACCTCCCATTCGAGCTCCTGGAGCTTCCGACCCGTCACCAAAGACGGCGTTGTACTGATGTAACAGAATGCGGCATCGGTTGATCAAAGATGGCATTTTCTGGATGCCTTAAAGTGGTCCATTTGTTGGCAGTAGAGCCCCAAATGGTCATAGGGTAGTAGCTCGTAGTAAATGATTCCTTGCCAATCCCACCAAACACACAGCAAAGGCTTCCTGGCCGTCAATCCGGTCTTGGCTACCGTCTGTGCCGCTTCCCCGTGCTTTGACCACGACCGTTTGCGCTCAATGTTGTTGTAAGTGACCCATTTTTCATCACCAGTCGCAATCCACTTCAAAAACGAGTCGATTTTGTTGTGATTCAGCAACGATTCGCAGATGGAAATTCGATCCATGGTACGCCATCTCTTAGATAAGAACCGAGCGAACTTCTTACTTGACCAATATATAATTGGCGCTTTGTAACCGCTACAGCGGCCGAGATCCACCTCCAATTTTGTGGTTTTGCTTCTTGGTGTTTTTCCAACAAATGGAGGGACCTACATTTTATACTAAGCCGCCTCCGAACGGCTGATGGTTTTTTAAGAGGAGCCTTATTTCATGTCATAAATACACTCGGAAGGGTTGGCATTCCCTGAAAGGGGCGAATATTCTTTTCCAAGGCGTCCATCGTCTCGGATTTATCGGCATAAACCAGCGACTTTACCTAACCTCACAAAAAGTTATCCAGCGGTGTTAAATCGCACGAGCTTGAGGTTGGTCTCTAGTCAATTTTCCGTTAAAGAAGTTTTTCAACATCATTATCAAATCTAGCTGAATACACTCCAAAAATTTCATTAAAATCGGTTAAACCGTTTGGAATGTCTGAGGTGAGCTAGTTATCAACTGGTAAGAAGCAACCAGTATTTTAACTGGTATTTATGAACTGGTATTATACTAGTACAATATAAAACTGATGCATAAACTGACAATGAACAATTCGTAAGGCAGCGACGTGTTAAAAATACCGCTTGCTTACATGGAAAACGGGCAGAAGATGAATTTGTTGGTGTAAAAATGTACACTAGTTGGATTCTAGTTACGAACTAGTGTTTTTTCTACTGGGGAAAGTAATAAGTACACTTGTGTAGAACGTCTATAAAATATTTAAATTTTTCTAATAATTTTTCTGCACCCCTAGTAACATATTTAGGGCGATGTCGATAATAAAAATTATGTCAGCATTTTAACGGTATTATGTCTGTTTTACGTTATTAATAACATATGACATCGCTTAAAATCAATATGTATTGTTTATTAATTATACTAGAAAATATTTGCTTATTGACAGGCAACGGAAGAAAAAGGCTTAACATTATATTACAGCACAAGTTGTTGCTAATTACTTAATATTAATAATAAACGTGTAGTTGTAAAGTTTAAAGAAATTTATTATAAGTCAATTAACAAATAACCACGAGCTAACTGTTATTAGAAGAAAATATTTATTTTTATAATTTTGTAAGAAAACAAAAACACTTCTCCCTCTTTCTGACGCTCTCTTCTCTCTTTTTCTCTCTTTTTCTCTTTGATTCTCTCCTTAAAGGGTCTCGAGCATTTGATGTTTAATCTAGGCTTGGGACAAATCGAATTCGAACCGGAACACACCATCGATGAGCATCGTCCTAAAGGCTTCAAGACTATTGATAGCGCAGAAGATGCCCAATTGACTGCATACTTCGAGCAGCAAAGTTTGCGGTTTTCACCCTCCGATGATGATATAGAAGTTTTAACGCAACGTGTGGTGGAGAGCAAGCAAACCGATGAGTTGGACATTTTATTAAAGGAAAAGGAGAAGGGCATTTTGTTGGAATTTAAAGAGATGCACGATCCAAAGCATAGACATCCGCGTGATACTGGTGAGTAGAGAGTAGAACTGAAAAATGGGATTCTAAAAAAATAAATATCTTGAACTTGAGGAAACAGAATTTTTAATGTGAAAGCAACTTCCCCAATTTATAAATCTGCCATCTGACTTTTTCTAATCGAAATAAGAGTCCCATATATTTTATATTCCCTCCAAAGAGAATATTACCCTTTTCTCTAAAAAGAACCCACCATTGTACAACGTGACTTGAGAGACACCAAAGTGTGACGGCGAGCAGTGAATGTTTAACAGAGCGTGGAATTTGAGTGCTTGTGCTGGGCGAATATCCAATGTAATCGGACATTAAGAACCTGAAGGGTATGGGAAAAGTGTGTATTGATGGTCGACAGTATGTCAAGAGAATATATGAGCATATGAGTTATTTTCCCGTGAAATTTTTAGACGACGCAGGCATTTGAAGCTTTATTGAAATTTAGGCTAGTTTTATGAATAATCAGGTTGCATGTCGGCACGAAGTGTCAGGGATCAAAACTCAGGTTAACAGTACGGAGCTGCGCGTAAGTTCAACAGGTAGTAGTTTCACTCACAAGGCTTAACCGGAGACTAAAACCTGGTACCATGGCAACCAAGAGTAGTAAATTTTGGCTCGATCTTGCTCAAGTAGCAAGGCCATTCCTTGAGTATCTTGGTGCTTGTGGTTTAAAACCAAATACGAATACAGTTAACTTCGAAACAGGCTATTTTTTTGGTCTCACCCAGTGATATGACGGCGTCAAAATGGACGAGTTATGTCAGTTACTCAACGACGTTGCCTAGAATTGAATAATGAAGTACTTCCCTACCTTTCGCCCTGTAAATGATGTCGTTAGAACCCAACCTACACTTAATGTAGATGAGCTGCTGGAGCTGTCACGAGGAAGTCCCGTAATTCAGACGAAACAAAGCTCTATATGTGCTCATCATTAGTCCCCACACAACATCAGCTAAGCCTGTGCATGTTCCGTAAAACCGACTCATCTAGCACAACCCACTTTATGGGCCGAACATTTTGAGGGTATCGTTTCCTGAACCTTCTGTTAGATAATGTCGATTCATAAACTAGTTACGACTGCTGGTTTGGTCACTCTTATGTGGCGTTTCGAACTATGGTTTTAAGCTCAAAAACTCTCTATAAGTTATTTCTAACTGTAGTAGATGTAACTCTTACCTATCCAAATGTAACCAACATATGTCCAGCATGCAATGAGTCCCTTCCGACACTAAACTCTGAATTCTTTACATGTCTGCTAAAACCGAGTTACCTAGCAGAACTCTCGCTTTGATATGAGCCCGTCGAAACAACTCGTCAAAACAGTCTAAGCCTTCCGTTAGATAACCCCGATTACATAAGACTAGCTTGGAATGCTTCTAAATGGGGTATCAAACCGTAACCTCAACAACAGCAACTATAACGGAGTGCCGAGCTCTTTTGGGGTAGTGATATAGGTAGGCAATCGGCTGTAATTTATCGTCGTGCTGTACATAACTTTACTTCCAATGAGTGTCTCTGCCACCATATTTTTTATTATGCTCTCCACTTCGTTTTAGCCATACGGGGGCTTAAACAACATTGAATAAAAACTTTCTGGAACATTCTGATATGATAGTGTGTCTTCATTATATCTTTTTAAATTCCACATAGCCCGTAAACTATTGCCATAACTCAAGGTTAATACCGTCAATTGTAAATTTAAATGGTTAAGGTTACCAACCTCTACGCAAATTACTTGAAAACTCATAATGAATAAACACTTTCTTTCGCCAATTCCATAGCGTATTTTACGTAATCACTTTGACCATCACTTTGGCGGCATAAATTAAGTGTGCCGAAGTAATGAGACGATCAATCAAATCCGAATACAAATATTGCCTCGAGATGGTACACTGAACTGAAGCAACAATTGAAATGTCAATTTAATACTATTACGTATTAAGTAGGTACTTAAGCTGGCAGCTGGCGGGGTTTGTTGTGAGCTGCGTGTGTTTAAATTCCGAACGGATCGAAATCTAGAAAGTGCTTTTTTGTTTCTTTAAAGGGGCTCTCTACTTGATAGGCATTTTCGTTACTTTCGAGATAAAACAGTTGCTTCGAATAAAAAATCGAACAGACTTCCGGAGGCGGCGAGAAGTGGTTCGCTCAAATGCTTTCCTATTTATATAATTTGTACATAGGCACACATAAAATGCATTGTAAACAATGCTGCGCTTGGTATAATTTCTTCAATAGAATCCGTCATGTAATTACTAAGCTAATTTAAAAATTTTTAAGATGAGCGTATAATTTTCTATTAGATTTTAATTTGACTTTTACTTTCAAGCAAACACAAATGAAAGTCATTGACAAGTGCTGCCAATCAATGAGAAGGTTATGTAGCGTTCAGACTGTTATGTTCGATAGATCATTTGACTAGTCTTAAAAGTTCATACAGCTATGCAAATATTTTTGCTTATTGTGAGTATAATTAAATTTCATTTTTAAGTACATATTTACATATTTCAACAAAAGCAAATAATTAATCTACACAATACTATTGTAATCTGCATACATATGTAAAAACGTTTTGTTAAGCTACACCGAAATTAACTATTTAATAAATGAAAACCAAAACCATCTACGTCAATGTCATTATCATTTTTAATGACATTACTGTCAAAATACAATAGAATTTCACATATAGATAAGCAATGAGCAGTGATGAATTAAACAGTGCTTGAGATTTTGCGATGCTTGAACAAACAATGCGAATTTTGCTTTTGTTATTAGTGCATGGGAAAAGGCTCTTACATGAGGAACTAAATGAAAATTTTGCTGTTGTTGTTAATATTATTACTTTTTCTGATATAATTTAAATTGGCGTCAGTGGAAGAGAGAGAGAACGTTGATTGGTGTACGATATCAATCATTTTATGCTTCTAGCCAATTGCATCACATATTCATTCTCTAGTGAATATCAATTCCTTGGTGCACAGTTTCTACTCTTACTCCATTATTTTCTAAATCGCTTTCCATTTATTTAAATTTGTAGAAATTATATTTACTTTTCAAATGGAAATATTCGCTTCTTTACAATTTAATTTCATCATTTTGTAAAGAACATTGTACAGCCTGCCGTTAATCGTCAAGAAACAGTATCACAGAACGTATAATATAGAGAAGGTGCAAAGCCAGCGTTTCTGACATTTCTAGCAGAAAAAATGTTTTGGTGTAATCTTCACTTCATTCTCGTCCTGAATTTCTGTTTCACCTCGATGTGAAAAGTTAACAGAATTGAGCGTATAATATACGTTCTCTGAAACATAGAACTGTCAAATTGCATGCCATGTGAACCGGGTAATTCGCGGTAGTAATTCAGAAGACGATTCAATCTGAAAAACTTACATTTGAAAGTAAACAGTTTTACGTGATGCAGTAGAAACATATGTACATCCATATACATTTGTACATATAAAAAATCAACTTATTTACTCCCACACAAATTATCTTTACTTAGTGTGTTACGTTTCCGTTTCGATTCCAAAACAAGTCTTTGGGAAAAGAATATAATATTTTTCGCACATTTAGATTATTTGTCTTCTATACAAAAATGCTGTTTCTTTTTTTTATCATATTTGTTACGTTTTAAGTGTGTGATTTATTGTTGTGTTTGGAATTTTGTTGTGCAAAACTTACTTTATCTCATTTGGCCTTACATTCTAAGCAAGTTGAAGGTAATTCTTGTTTTTGGCATATAATCCTAGCAAATTTAGATAAATTTTGATAACACTCAAGCGCAAATCTTAATGCGTTACAAGTGATAATACAGAAAAAAGTAAAAATAATTAACAAGTTAGATAAATATTTCGAGGAAGCGACATATATATATGGCAAAAATGTCAAATAAGCTGATAAGTAAATGCGCATTCGTGCTGTCTGTCGGGGGTAAACAAAATCCGAATTGCATTTGTGCCACTTAATGCAACTTGACTCAACTCGTCTGTCTCTCCTACCATAGGCAATTGAAATGTGTGTAAACTCTTACAATAACACGCTGGGCTTGGTAAATAAATAAATTTTGATTTAAGTTGTTAATAACTTAAATTTTGTTCGAGTATTTTCTTGGTAGTAAATACTAGAAATCAGTTCGCTACCAAAGAAATTAAAAAATCAAAACAAAAATAAAACCCAAATATTCGATTGCGCATTAATACAGTTACTCATACGACGTGTTGTGCATACAAATGTGTACTCGTTGCACTTAAATACTTACATATATACAAATGCAAATAACAGTATACTCGCACTTGCCATTGTATTTAAGTTGCAAATATGCATAACACAAAAGTATATGCAAAATGTAAATAAATAAACTAAAAACAACATTGTTGAGAAATAAAGAAAACAGTGAAAATAAGGTAATAAACGCACGGAATAATAAATATATTGCAAATAACAACATATTGCATATATGTATGTATGTACACATATTTGTTTACGTCTTACAAGTATTATAATAAACAAAGCTCGATTAATTTTTCAACAACAACAGTAGTTAACTTTAGCCGTTTCCATTCACAATGATTTATGACCTTTTAGTTACTATAACCTTTTCCAATTTGATAAGAAATCTGTAAGTTCTTGAGAAAGATAATTGACTACATGCGGAAATGTAAGCATAAGGAACTTGAAATTTTTCAAAGCTGGCAAGTACTTTTGTTCGTCAATTTTTAATGCCATTAATTTTCTGTGCCTAAGGAATTTTTCCATAAAAGACACTGACCAGTCACCAGTTGAGTTTTTGCGCCGCTTACTCGCTAGGCATTCATAAATTAAATTATTTTAACTTAATTTGAAAGTTTACGATGAATAACATAACACGCAAACTATTTTGAATGTGTTGGAAATCATCGGCTATGGTGAACCAAAGCTGTCAAAATATCGAAAGTGTGGGCTATAGTTAAGCTGCACTATCGATATTATTCCAGCATTGCTAGTGAATTTATTATTTATAATTGTCATGTAGTGTTTCAATAAAATCAGAAGTGTGATGAATATGATTTATAGTGCAGAATGGGCATGCTACAGCGCGAAGAAAATATAGTAATCGTTTAATTAAATCATCAGACGGCAGGATTTCAATATTTTGTAAATTTTTCATGACCGTCTGCTTATGGCAAAAAGCAATGCGAATTGAGTACCAAAAATGCTGGCATCATCTTAGCTAAGACAGCGCAAGAATTGTGAAGTTGCGGGAAGGTGATTAACAGATTTAAGAACGGACTACTACTGGAGATGAAGTCCAAATACTTAGACTTCTAATCTCAATCGAAGCTGAAGTACGTGAAGTACATAAAAAAGTAGTTAAATTTGTAGGCGCCGGCAGAACAATTGATGGTTATTGCTTTTTGTGCCCAAGAAAGAATGTTAAACAAAATTGAAGAACTGCGTGTTGCTCTTGCAATACATCGCTCGAGCAGAGTTTCAATGACTACCTTACGCATGAAGGACATCGAATCGTTGACTTCTACTACAAACGCCAAATTTCCTTCCAGTGGTTTCTAACTATAACCAAATGACAGTGGAAGGAAATTTCCCTATGCCAATGCTATCAAGGAGTTCTTCCTAGCTCCAGCTGAGCTCATATTTTTCGAGACCATAATCAAATTTAAATTAATATATACATAAATATACTTACGCACCTACACCCGCTTACGTCTAACCACCATTAAGCAAGCAACTCTCTCTACTGTTGTCAACTGCCACTTTGCATAAGTGAGTCCATAAACTGTCACTTTGTATGTGGACATATGTATGTAATTAAATGCAACTGTTATTGTTTTTGACATTTTGGCATTATGCCGGAATAGAGTGCGCGGCATTATGTATGTACAACGCTACAAAGCTACAAAGCTACAAACGTGTACGTAATGGCATGCCGACGACGCCAATTATGGTCTAAAGCCATATTTAATGTGTCTCAAGGCAATCAGACTTGCTTGACAGTCGGTGTCTAATTAAAATATAATATAAATTTAATGTTCTATGCGCGTCGCGCGTACAACTATTTGTGGATTGGTTGTAGTGAATGAAGATAAGCAGATTTATTGAATTTTATTGCATACCCTACGCAATCAGACTGCATCTCAGAAGGGGACTTTTGCATGAATCGTTGTCATTTTGGATAATAATTCATTTTACGCTGCTCTCATACAGTTTCACCGTTACTTATTCGACTGCATAAACAGTGGATCTGTTTGATTTATTATAATCCCTTAAATCAATATGAAAAGGCTTCCGCATCAGATGGGATTTTTTTCTTTATTATGGTCACCCTGTCATTAGATGAATACTCTACGGATGCAATTTGAAGTAGGCCCTGGTTCACTCATGGTTAGCTTCAAAATTGTTATATGTCATATGGTTACCGGAACATTCTAAAGCAAATGAGCTTGTATATTTTCCGGGCAAGCACCCCCACAAGTGCGTTTGCGAAATTCTTCCGAGCAAAAGTGGAATTTTTAAATTTAGAGAAGCTTCGGTTCGCGAAAATTGGGAGTTCCGACTGAGCACTCACGCGGTAAGGCTAGGGATTTTGTCCGATTATCATGATAACATCCAGAAGAAGAAATACCTTGCCAAACCTGGTGAACACGTTCAATCATCTTTCATACCAACGCCAAGGGAAAACATCCATGGTTCAAAGGTCATACTCAGCATATTGTTGGACAAGACGGGTGTGGTGTACTGTGAGCTCCTAAAACCAAACCTAAAAAGTGAAACCATTGATCTGAAATATTAGCGACTACGACTAATACGTTCGAGAACGGTCAGAAAGTATCAAAAGGTATGACAAACTGATTTTAGGACATAACAACGCCTGGAGGTTTTCCCAGACCCGCTGTATTTTCCAGACCTCGCCTCTTGGACTACAGGTTTTTCGACAGATGGGATGCAAAACAATTTGAGTTGCCTCTTTTAAAGAAATCAAAGAATGGCTCAATGATTGGATAGAAGACAGAGAGCACTCATCTTTCGTTTTGTGGCAGCACAACGGTATTATGTGCCTATGTGGGGTGCTCTTTCGATTATCCACTTCTACATAACCGAACTTAGCCTATTATAAACTATTTTAGGTTCTTTCGGAGGAGAGCTGATTCGTGTTCACTTTCTGGGGTTTTCGTTGTTATTTTTGTGGTACGGTAACCCGTCTTTAGACTAATCTAATCAAGATTACTTAACGGAAGTCTTATGGAACAAGCTATTTGGACGAGCTTAACCCTAAGAACGAAAGAAGTTGGATGAGTATGTTTCCGAAGACAGGTAAAAAGGAGGCTGGATTCCTACTTTCTATTTTTGGACATCTTTGTTGTTAATATGTACCTTCTAATCTTCTTAATTCCGATCTCATAGCTTCCGAGTCCTTTCAGGCATTAGCGGACCGAACATTGCAACTCACCAAACAGACCAAACTGACTATGCTTAAATGTTCATTTTATAAATTTTGATAATCTTGTATTTTTATTTCCTTTCCAGATGCTTTCTTGGACGGTCCACCCCTTTCAGCCAACGTTTGTCTTTCCCCCAAAGCGATGCTCCGTCTAGTCGTCGATCACAATGATCTACACAAGGGTAAACTATATAAGACCTTTACGGCCGATGCTGTGCCGAAGCCGCACAACTCCGAGGACGAGTACAACGAGTTTATCAACCAGGTGCAGTTAACGCCTGTGGCTTTTATGAAACTCTGTCCCGCGCTGTTGGCACAAGTGGATCAACATGTGTGTATGAAACCGGCGCCACTAACGAACGGTGAAGATCCCAAACTCTCGTTGTGGAATGGTGAGTTAACAATGGAGATATCTCACATATATATGTCAAATGTAATTTTTGCTTTATTCCCTTGCAACAGCTTGGATCTACGCCTCGGTTTCCATATTCATACTCTCCGCGTGCGGACTGCTCGGCATACTGTTGGTACCACTGATGAAGGCGACGGCATATCAAGATATTTTAAAATTTCTAGTCGCCGTAGCTATTGGTACACTCGCCGGTGATGCGCTAATGCATTTACTACCACATGCTTTGGTGCCCGAGCATGGCGGTGGACATGGTGACGTCACTGAAGAATCGGAGCATGAAAGTCACGAAGCTGTTTGGATTTGTGCCTGCGCCTTTTTCACTTGCATTTTCATGTATGTACTCGAGCACATCTTGCCATTGCTGAAGGGCGAGAGCAACGGTGGACATGGTCACTCACATGGTCATAGTCACGCACACAGCCACGGTCATACGCACACGCATCATACAGAGCATCAAAAGTCAGAGCAGACGACGGCCGGCGAGACCAACAATCAACAACCGCCAATCAATCATGATGCTAAAGAACTCAATATCATGTTGAATGAGACGAAAAATGATGAAAAAGGACCCTCACGTCCACTCACACCAGTCGCTTTCATGGTCGTCATCGGTGATGGTCTGCACAACCTCACCGATGGCTTAGCAATAGGTGCTGCTTTCGCCAGCGATCCAGTCACAGGCATGGCTACCGCTTTTGCCGTACTCTGCCACGAGCTGCCACATGAATTGGGCGACTTTGCCCTGCTCCTGCAGACGGGCGTTTCACTGCGACGTGCCATCTACTTGAATATTGTCAGTTCCGTGCTGAGTTTCCTGGGTATGGCTATTGGTTTGTTTATAGCTGGCTCACATGAGAATATGACGCAATGGATTTATGCAGCTACAGCTGGCTCGTTCCTTTACATTGCACTGGCCGATCTGGTGCCCGCGATGAGCGAGATGGAGGGTCATGTAGGGAATTCAAAGAGCAAGAAACTTAAGGATACTTTAATACAGATCATTGGTATGCTCTTGGGTGGTCTTATAATGTTAGCGATCGCTGTGAATGAGCATGCGCTCGGCGAGCTCTTTAAATGAAAGTGAGCTTAAGCAGTATCATGCGGTAAACGGGGAGAGAGTCGAAGTGGGCTTCCTAGTTATGTAAATTGGGAGGATAAACGTACGAAAATACATTCCTAAACTTGTTTCTTAGAGTTTTAAATCTGATATGGAATATGTTTATTTAAGTTTAAGTATTTTAAAGTATTATTAAATTTATTGTAAATTATTTAGATTTTAAGATACGAAAAGTGGAACGATTAAAATTTAATTAAAGCTCAGGACTGTTTTTTTTTTTTGGAAGTTATTAGAAAAATAGATTCTCAGAAGATAGCCGAAGATTCTTTGTAGACTTTATGTGCCAGGAACATTTCTCGATAGCTGCGGACCAAGAAGCAAAGCCAAATGGTTTTTCAGATCTTCTACGCTGTGTCGGTTTCATAGTTAATAAGATGGTAAGCCATCATAACTGGACTAAATAAGGAGGAGTTAAAGCCTTTGAATCCCTCCTCTGGTGCGAAAAAACTAATTACTGTCCGGAATTTTATTCAATGTCGCTTTATCCGCGCGTAACTTTCGCCAACTCTACGGTAATCATAACCGAAAGATAATTAACCAGTCCTCTATACAAACTCCCAACGCGATGCTTCTTAAGAGGTGAGAGCTTCAAGTCCATGGACCCTGACCTTGGTTCAGTACCAGAACCAGACTTTCACCGCAAAGTCCTTCTCCTCTCTTTGACGAAACTAATTATTCTAATAAAGACAAAATGGGATGGTCCCACTGCGGAAATCAAAGTAAACGCCCAGAAGCGGGATCCCTCCCTTACCATCTCAACTCAGAATGACAGCAGTATAGTTTTCGTAACGTACTAAGTACTACCACCACACTACTATCGTTAAAACGCCGTGTTATCTGGGGTCTCTACGAAATCCAACCCTAGACGGGAACTACCTTGACAGCAATGGACTTTTGGAGAGCTTCCATAACCACATGGTGCTAAAATCTGATACTGAGGACTACTCATTTGCCTTCAGAATGCAAGAGGTTAGCCATAAACAATCTGTAAGTCGAATATCCAACCATAAGGAAGCTGGGCCGAGTTCACGTCTTCTCCGCCCTATATATAGTGAAGAACCGTCCTCCTACCCAGCGAGTTTCTCTAATCACATATGCTGTTGACTGTCCAAACTTAGAATATTAATGAATTAGTCGCTAACTGTATACCCTGTTATTGTTGATGCTGTAGCGGTTAGTTAAGCTCCGTATGGGAGCATTCAAAGTTCACTAAAGACCTAAACATCAAAGGAACTGTCCGGTTACTGGATGTTTCATTCAACAACATGTACTGCAACCGAGATATTTTCTGAAAGTAGTACAGATGCAGATCACACTGGAGAAACCCAAAGTTGTCCAGAAAGATAGTTTTATATTAAATTTTTAAAACTATTTCTATGGAATTCAATCAAAAAAAAACATTTCCCGATCATAAGATCAATTTTCTATATGAGTTTTTATTATCTTTGCATATCAGGCCTTTTTTGTCATTGCGCCGAAATGTATGCAACGTTTTTTCCTTACTACTTAATTTGCAGAACTCTTAACCTCAAAAAAAAAAATCATAATCAAACATGGAATTGCGGCCTAAAATCATTTATGTATATCGCTAGAAAAACAACAAATGCAGCTAATAATGGTTTAAAGGCGTTTATTAAAATTAAAACAAAACAAAACGTTTCTAACTAAACATAATTTCTTATGTTCAGGCTATCTGCTGCTGTGTTTCCTCAAATGGTTCATTGGGCAATCGTGCAGGATTCTGAAGAAAACAAAAAAATATTTATTAACACCTATATATATAAATCGATAAACACTGCTGTGAAAGTACTAACCAATTTCTTAGCGCGTTCTTCCAATGTGCTGTACGCCACATGATCCAATGTAAAACCGGCTGGCAGACCAACACCCTGTATACGATACAAAGCATCTTTTTCGCCTTCATTTGCAATCTTATGTGCTGTTGCTACAGTACATTTACCAAGGAAACGTGATGAGGCTACCATTGGACCACGTGATATATCTATATGTGTGCCCATACGATATAGCGTAACGCGACCTTGATTCTGCTGGGCAATGCTGGGCAATTGTTCACGTTTATAATGCGAATCCGCAAACATTTCCAATGCCAATTCGTTGTTTACATCCAAACGTTCGATTTTTAGATCTTTGCTTGCCAAGTTAATCATCTCGGCGGATAGTGCGCGTAGCTCAGCTTTACTTGGCTGCCAGTTCTGTGCGCGCAGCACTACATCGTAAACAAAGCTGCCTGATTTGACTGAAATACGAATATACATTTCACAGTTGAAAAATATTTGTTACATTTTCGCCACTTACTGTTTGGACCAGGAAAACTGTGTAATTGCAAATGAGCATCATCGGTAAAACTGTTTTGCAAAGCCGCACCCAACATAAAACTGCATGTACGCCAAAAAGCTCTATAAAATTGCAGTAAGAAAAGTATGTAGATATGGACGCAAAAAAAAACCAATGTTTTCAACTTACTTATTTACTAGATGTGGATCGCTAACGGTGAAATTTAATAGCTGCAGAGTGCAAGATTCAGTCAGTGGACGATGCATATCCCAAGGCACATTGCCATCCTTTAAAGCCAATGCAGAGCGTTTACAATGCCCGTCACTCAAATGTTGTGCACAATTGTATGGCGTAGATATTGAGGCATTCATAGCCAATGTTACATCTTCCGGCAGTCCCAAATAGCGAACTTCAATTTTTTCAACTCTACCAACGGCTTCTTGTTGACGACGTTGCTCTTGCGAGAAGAGTTCATTACGTTTGGCTAAAGCAGGAGCAAATGTCTCCTTTTGACTGGAGTAGGTGCCTGAAAAGCGTTAAAATTAAATTAATTAAATAAAAATTATTGTGCTATCTTAGAGCTAGATTTGATGTTATTAAGTCGAGTAGGACCGACTTCCTCTACTCACGCAAGTTTGTCAACCTCTGAAAGCGATTTAACGTATTTAATACTGATCGAGAAATTATTTTATTGCTCGCCATTATAATAAATTTTAATTAGATTTTATTTCAGCTTTTAAAATCAATTTTCAGAAGTTTTTTTACAGGCGGCTCGAAAATTGTTATCAAATCAAATTATTTATTTAACAGCTGATATCAACGTGCTTAAATATTGCCACATATTTCTCTTTATATTTTCTCACCAATCATTACCAAAATTTTTATTGTGTCATTATAAATTGTCAAAATATGCAGTTTCATTTGGAAAATCTTTCATATTAATAGTAGCTTATATTCTTATAAAAATTCATTAAATTCAATAAAATTGTACCTTAAAAATTTTATACTTAGCAACTTTGATTATTTCATTGTGAATGAGTCACTGCTCACTGTTAATGACGTTTCTTGTATAGAAGAAGCATCGAAAAAAGCGCTGTCACAAATTTTGTTGGTCATCTTTATTCGTAAAACATAGTGTAATTCTTTATAGTTTCTTACTATATAACATCGCTTCTATACATAGATAAACCTTAACAAAATGACTATGGAGCAAGTGCGCACTGTGCCCAAAGGTGGTTTCAATTTCGACAACTGCAAAAGGTAAATTTCATTAGCTTTGTATGAGAAGCCGCAATGTTCATGCTTACTTTACAGAAATGAAATGCTATTGGGTTCCGGTTTTCAGCAACCAAAAACAGTGAAGACTGGTACCACAATTGCTGGCATCATATTTAAGGATGGTGTAATATTGGGAGCAGATACTCGTGCCACTGAGGGTCCAATTGTTTCGGATAAGAACTGTTCCAAAATTCACTACCTTGCCAAGAATATGTAGTAAGTATATATATATATATTTGTAATGTTTGCATTTGTAAATGCTAATTTCATAATTTCTCTAGCTGTTGCGGCGCTGGCACAGCAGCTGATACTGAAATGACAACGGATTTGATTGCTTCCCAATTGGAAATGCATCGTTTAAATACCGGTCGTCAAGTGCCTGTGGTCGCAGCTAACACATTGCTGAAGCAATTTTTATTCCGCTATCAGGGACACATTAGCGCTGCTTTAGTGCTTGGCGGTGTAGACAAGACAGGCTCATACATCTATTGTATACATCCGCATGGTTCAACTGATAAATTACCATACGCAACAATGGGCTCGGGTAGTTTGGCTGCCATGTCTGTTTTTGAGTCGCGTTGGAAGCCAGATATGACCGAAGAGGAAGGTAAACTATTAGTACGTGATGCTATTGCGGCTGGTGTCTTCAATGATTTGGGTTCCGGTTCGAATATCGATTTATGTGTTATTCGCAAGGATTCAGTTGATTACTTGCGCAATTATGAATTAGCCAACTTGAAGGGCAAGCGACATGTAAGGATGTCTTTGATATATCCTTATAACATAGGAAATATTAATAATTATTATTTACAGGGTGACTATCGGTTTAAGCCAGGCACAACTGAGTTGGTTGGCAAGGAGGAGGTAATCGCAGTCGTACCTTTCGAGGCTTTCCATAAAAAATTACTGACTGATGAAACCGGTGAAGCAATGGAAGTTGGTGCTTAAAATTTTATAATGTCATAGTTTGCATAAAAAATTTAAATTTTGCTTTTTTGAAAATAAATACAATAGTTTTTAAATATACTTGTACCAAATTTTTTCTGGTTTTTACATTCGTCCTTGGCCGGACAAGTACAATTCTTGCTATTTTTCGATCAAAAGATCGATTTCAATGAATTTGTCGAACGATACTTATCGATATTATATTCGCTAAAATCACATTCTTATTGATTACAAAATTAAAAAAGCGTTACAAGAATATTGAACTGAACACTTCGGTGCCACTGGATACGCAAACAGCGGATACTAGCAGCCGCAACCAAACCACAGCTGGTAAAGCTAACTCCAAAACCGAAAAAAAGCTCTTACACAGATAAACATCGGTCTCCTGAAGATTCCCAATGGCAAGAAGCCAACTGTTAGGGCCATGGGGTCATGAATCAACATGTTGCAGCAAGTCATGAGCCGAAGTGATACGCAGTGAGACCCGGTGGTAGCATATCGTCTGAGCAACAGGCTTTGATGGATTTCAGACTTGAACCCGAAGGATGTCATGCATGCAATGTGTAACCGCACAACACTAACGCGCTCTCTTTGCTGCATGTCCCCTTAAACCAATTTATTTAAAGCAATACTGAACCCGTCAAACAGCTCGTTTACAGTGACAATGACTTAGATTGCTCTAACCTGCTCCAAAGCGAGGTTAGCATAATTTACGAGCGGTCGGAGAGACTTTGATATCGGATCGGTTCGGCTCTTTATATCGGGCTACTCAGGCGCCCGCCCACCGAAATTCCAGCAAAATCTATGAAGCCACATCGTGTCCTCTACGCAAAAAAAAAGCCTTGGATGATAGCAGATCTATACACCCTAACAGGAAACTTGAAGGGCCCTCAGCCAATTCCGTTAGATTTATAAATAACTCACACGGGCACGATATTTCTAAGAAAGTGTAAATTTTATTCGCCAAAAAAAAATTTATAGTTCAAATTGCAGAATAGTATATACGTATGTGTGTTTATAATAAACTTTCTTAAATTAAATAATATGCATGGATGTAGGTCCGTCTCTCCTCACATTTCCACATAAGTGGGCATTGTCATGACACCACAATTATTCTTACGTGCCGACATCAATATATAACCATCATTGCCCCAATATGTTGACCAAGAATTCTTCACCAACCAATAATCCTCGCCATTAATTGTGCCATAACCCACAGCCAACACAGCATGATCCAATTCGTCCAAACCATTCTTACACTGTGGCTCATAGTAGACGCCGTGCGAATAGAAACTGAAAGTACGTGGTGATGCGTCAATGGCCACCGAAAGTGGTCCATGTTTGAGTAGTGCAATTTTGAAGGCATTCGAATCGCCTGAGGTGACATTCACAAAACCGGTAATTGGTGCAACGAGTGTGAGATTTTGTGCATGACAATAACCATCTTGACCCAAGTACGGACCATAATCCTCTTCGGTGGGCACACCACCCATTTTCATCATCCATTGGTAGGCACGGAAATCTTCGCCACCATCACAACCGTTATTGCCGTATTGCCACGAGCAATCGATGAGCGCTTGCTGGGAGAGACGCACCAAATTGCCACCATTCTTGAGGAAATAAGCGCCTTCAATATGACCGATGGTGCCGAAAGACCAGCATGAGCCGCAAACGGATTGATCTAAGAAAGGAAACCATTTTTTTTTAATATTTTTGATTAGGAGAAGAAGAAAAAACTTTATAAAATTTTAAAAATTAATAAAAAAAAAAAATATCTCTATGTATATGTAAATATATATGATAAATAAAATTCTAATTTCTTAAATAAAAGCTTCACTCAAAAGCTTTTCCTTAAATTAAAGCTACTTGTGAAAGCTTTCATATTAGATAAAAGCTTCGCCCCACAGCTTCTACCAGTCACAATAAATCATAATTCGAGCTTTCAATTGAGCCAAAATAGTTGTTGTTGTTGTTGTTGTAGCGGTTCGCTAACCCCGCTTAGGCACAGTTTTGTTCAGTCTAAGTCACCGAGGTCATCTAGTGGTAGGACCAGGAAACGAGCTGTTTCGACGGGGTTGGACCAAAGGGAGAGAGGGGTTAGATGAGTGGGTTTGAGGGGACATGTGAAGAGGTGGTTAGTGTCGTGCGGGGACTCTCCACATGCAGGGCATACGTTAGGTAAGCTGGGGTCTAGTCTGGATAGGTAGGAGTTTAACCTGGTACAATATTCAGACCTGAGTTGTGTCAGGGTCACGCGGGTCTCTCGAGGCAGCTCGAGCTCGTTGTCTGCTATGGGTGGTGGTATTTTTCCGAGTACGCCATTCACTGGAAGGGAGTCCATGAAGGTGTTGACTGACTCCTGGTGAATGGTGTTCAGTGCTTGTCGATACGCCGTCCTGTCCAGCGGCTGTTGTGTGTGTTGCTGGATTGTGACCTTAAAGCCAAAATAGGGAAAACTCCAGCTTGGGAGCTTTCACAAATTAGGGACAATACGAAAAACCTTAGTATTTTTATTAGATAAACGCTTCTCCCGAAAGCTTTTTACCAGAAAAAACCCTTTATCGAAACCTTTTCGATTATATAAAAGCTTTACTCGAAAGCTTCTACCAATAATAATAACAGACTAGAGCAATAAATAATAATGACCAGTACACAAAAAGCTTTCATCAAGTAAAATGCATACTTCACCAAACTTTTTTGTCAAAAAGCTCTGTTTTATGTGAAGCTTTCCCTTATTTCAATAACTAATCAATCGACTCACCCTTCACCGGCGTTACAGCGCCATATAAACGCCAATCATACTGATCGGGCAAATCGTCCTTGAGCTTTTCCACATTATATGGGAAGGGCTTGCCCGTGTTGTAAACGCCCGACGATCTGAAACCGCGACGAGCGCGTAACTCCTCATCGGTCTTATCGGCCAAATGGTTCACCGCCAAAGTATAACTCAAACGCGCACGATTCTTCGAGTTGATGAAACGTAAATTTTGTCTGAAAACATTCTTGCGATATTCATGCTCACTATCGGATGGATATTTAATGCCATGCTTGCGCTTGAAGTGATTGAAAGAGTGCTCAACATGATGATCCACAGCGGGATGGACGAATTCTTGCATTGGATTGAAAGTGGCATAGTGACCGGCACCCGGACCGGGGAAGGGTACGCAGACCATTGCTAGAAGGGAAAACAAAGATAATTAATTTTAGCACAAGTAAATAACAAAACCACTCCACTCACTATCATCCAATTCGAAGACCTCATTTGGTATATCATCATGCTCATAACTGTCGTAATCCAAGAAGTAATGATCGAAATGTGAACCCAACAGTGAATTATAGCCACGCATCTCATAACGCACAGGTATCGGTTGACGTGACGCCGGATAGTGGGGTGATTTCTTGTAACGCACCCACAAGGTGTACACATTACGCTTTTGTCCGATCACCTCATCCAAACGGAATTTATCACAAGTGAAACCCAAGAAATTTTCGGTGCCCAAGAGCGTAAAGTTCCTCGCATCCGGTAGTATAGTTTGTATGCCCACACGATTCTCTGCGGTGCCATTCAATTGCAAACATGTGATCTTATTCAACTCCTGTTCCGTGGTCACCGGTGCCAATTTGAGTGATGTACCGTAAGGCATAACACTGCCTAGCTGATAAGTCTTCACCATGCCACCGTAATAATCGATACGTGAACGTTTGGTTTGCTTGTCATACCAAGCGTAGAATGGTTCGGCGATCTCAGCATATGGTATGTAGAGTGTGCCCTTCGCTATGTAGGTCTCATCCCATTTTGGCGGTTTGGTGGCAAATACTGAAAGGGAAAAAAGAGACTTTATTAGTTTGAGCTCAAAAAGAAATTTTAGGCAGCAGCGAGTTGCGGGCGGCCTTCGGCCGGTAAATAACAGGCCCTCCGGGTGTATTTCAGACCTGAAATAAGGGCTCCTCACAAAAATCCAACAGCCATTCGGCGGGGAGGCGGCTTAGAAAATACGGTAAGTCCCTTCATTTGCTGGGAAAACATCAAGAAGCACTACTCTCATTGAAGGAGGACCTCGGCCGAAGGCAAGTTCAGCAGTTAAGAAGTGAGAGTCTCCAAGGACTCTGCTACTCGTCCACTTAAAATCAACTTTATATGTCGGTAAAACATAGAAAAGCACTCAAGTCAGGTAAGTACTTGTCTTAAAGTGCCTCAAAGTAATCAAATCTTTCAACCTCATTTAATCGATTGTTTATCAAATATTTACTGTTGCTATCGGCTTATCAAGAAACTCTTTAAAACTAGTACTTGACATACATTTAGATCAACTATGGTTGGAACTCTTGAAATCCACTCGTATCACTAAGCACTTTGATTGAATAAAGAAGACCCCTGCGGGTTAGGGGCTCAAGAATTTACCCGTGATAAGGCATGCCTGTCGTAAGAGGTGACTAATAGTTCCCGCGACAGTCGGGTCTTTATACCGGAACGACACGGATTTTTATCCGGCCAACGACTGTCACTCCCGCAATATTCCCCGAAAACCGATTCGGGGAATAATTTGAGGTTACAACAACAACATTGAATAAGGAGGTCGCTGTAGATTACTGGGCTGATGGATGACCATTGTCCAAAGCAAGACTTAGAGCTTTACATTCTGGGCATCACGGAATTACGAGACCAATTGATTTCGCCATGTCTGTCTGTTCGTTCGTCCATGGGTCCGACGTCCAGCCATCCGTGTAAACTATAAGTCATGTAAAGAGAAATTTTTTGTTGAAACTTGGTTCACACATTCTTAGGGTCACTCGTACGAAGGAAATTGAAAAGAGGTTAAATCGGAAAAAGTACACGCCCACCGCCCATTTAAAGGTACTTTTGAAAGTACGGAAGTTTCTAAATAATTGTGCAATTGATGACACGTCTGTTAGTGAACTATGAGGAGTGGGAAAGTTATGAGCCCAAGAGACACCACACACTTTTGTGCCAAAATATACAATATATCTCAGAAATCAACCAGACAGAGTACGGAATTCGGTAAAAGTTGATACTTATAATTCCCATGGTCTGGTATTAACACGTAGTGAATATAGGCACAAGCAGGAAAAACCCAGGTCTTCGTCCCATATAATGGACTCTCTCCTTTCCAACCCCCTCGCATGATCTAAGATCAAATGTTTAACGCGCAAATCAACAGAACTCAACCCAAATTGCTAGATATGCGAATTTAAATGTCGACTAAAGTCGTACGAATAATAAGCCCAGCAATAAAGCTACCAGCCACATAGCAGAGCTTCACTTCTTGACCGATCTATGGAAGTATAATGGAATATTTAAGAGAAAAATTTAACTTTTTTATGAATAAGAAAGGTACAGTGTTTGATTCTTCTTTGAAATTCTCAGTCTCCCTGATTTTATTATAAAAAATATCAACCCAGTATCTAAATTTGGTGCAATCTGAGCTTATTCTCACTGAGGCTAAGAGTACGAATCTTCTTCCTTTTTAGACCCTTTTTGGTAAATTCTTTTCAGTGATAAACCCAGTGTTACCCACCTTCCGTTCAACCGCCCAAGAGGCGCGCCTGATGGATAATCGAAAAATTTAACAGACAGACGACCGAAAACCAGTAACAATCCTGACTATCCTTAACCCGAAACCGATTGCCGAAGGACGCGGATACACTTGCCTCTTACGTGCCTCCAAGTTTGCTCGGCATGAGCACAATGAAAGGAGTCTAAAGTATTTAGAGGAGCTTAAAATTTTGTTAAAGTTAAGTTCCCTAAGGAGGAATGGGCTGTTGATAGCACCTCTTATCAATTCATATATATATAACAAATCGCCAATTTGTAACCTCTGATGCGATTTTAGGCCGAGCTCCTCCTCCAATTTGTGGTTTTGCGTCTTGATGTTTTTCCAACAAATGGACGAACCTACAGCTTATACACAGCCACCTCCGAACGGCTGATAGTTTTTTATGAGAAGCTTTTATTTCATCTGAGAAAAACACGCGGAGAGGTTAACATTCCCATGCCGAGGGTAGTTAATAATCCAAGATGAGTTGTGCCCTTATGGCTTTTAACTCTTATTTTGAATCTGTGCTATCAACAATTGGATCGTTTGGAAGAAGCAAACATCCAGCAGCGCTCAGCTGTGCCCAGCGGGAAGGAAATTTTGTTTAGTCAGTACAACCTCAGATCACACACTTTGATAGTGGCGCGCCAAAAGCTCTGAAAGCTTGGATGGGAGAAACTTTTACAGCCACCCTATAGACCGGATCTCGCATTAAGTGATTACCATCTGTTCCTGTCTATGGCTAATGAGTTGACTGGTGAATAAGTGGCCTCAGGAAGAGCCCGTGGAAATTGGTTCTTCTTTTTTTGTCAATAGGGGCATAGGTTTCTTTGAAATAGACTTAATGATATTAAAATCAATTTGCCAATTCAATCTAAAAATAATGGATTATTTTTTACTAGACCGATATGCATGGATGTATTTACATACTCTACTAAAAATTTATACATATATGAAAAACTTATTGTCAATAATCAAAAACAAAGTGCAAATCAACGTTTGAAATGGCGGCTCAAACCAGACTTCTAGAAAAAAAACAAATATAAACAAAAACAAAACCAAAAAAAATTAACCGTAAAATAAGCAAAAAAAATGCTTAAAAAGTGCACAAAGGAGAAACGAAAAGTGAAAAGAAATTAAAATTAAAAAAAAAAACACTTTCTAAAAAAATATCGACAAATAAAAGCAATTGTATAACAACAACAATAACATTTAGTGAAAACTAATCTCATCTCTCTATCAATTGCTAACGTGGAAAAATTTTAATTATATTAAATTCATACATATATTATAGTATTAAATTTATACAGAATTTCTCGCTTATTTAAATACACTTACCATTCGCACTTATACCGCAAGCCACCAACAACAATAACATCGAGAGCCGCATACTGTGCTGAGTTCTATAAAACACAAACCAGTCTCGACGTCGGCTTTCTACACAATTTATGTGTTGTTGTTGTTGTTGTTGTTGTTGTTGTTGTTGTTGTTGTTGTTACTGTTGGCACAAAACTTTCGCAAATGCTTTATTGATATTTCACAACGCTTGCCCGTCGGTGTATATTGCAATATAATAATGCCAAGTAAGAGTAATAAATATATTTCCTTACTTTTTTTTTTTGCTCCACCAACAATTCGTTGCAAAATTACAATAAATAAATTCTGTTTAATTTCCACAATTTATTTCGAAGTCAACTGTTTGGTAAATAAGCAACAGTGTGTTCTATCGACCGCTGTGAGCGGACAACTGAAAGTTGCGCTCAACTAAAAGGCGAACCTAACCTTAATACTGACCTGCGAACGGCGCTGTGTGCGCTCAGTCGTCGATAGAATTCAACAAAAAGCCGCATACGAGTCTTGCGTAAATAAAGAATACTCGTCTCTGGATGTGTGTGTGTGTGTGTTAGTGTGGTATGTTGTAAAAGGCTCAGTGGACTTTTTTTTTCTACAACGGCTCTGCATAGAACCAAGCAGTGGCGGTTGCAGGCAATTGCAGTGTAGAGGGTGTCTGAAAAAGAGATCTAATAAGTGCTATTATAATCAGTTGGATTATGCTCTTTGCGACTATTTCAGTTGGAAAACTGTCATTTTAGGTTGCCCATAACCTTAAAAATTCAACTCCTTCCACAAGCTACACACACTGCGTGCTGTTTCGTCCCAATCACCTCCTTGATAAGGCCTATCTGTGAAGATTATGTACGACAAAATGCCACCGGTGCTGATGGACGGAGTGAGGAGTTGTTGTTGTTGTTGTTGTTGTTGTTGTCGTCGTTGTGGTTGTTGTTGTTTTTTTTTTTGTTATAACGGCTTGCTAACCCCGCGTAGGAGCAAGCGTGATTAGTTCAAGTTATCGCGATGATCTAACGAAGGGTCCAGTTGTTACGGCTTAGCATTCCTGCGAAGCTGTTACGGCTTTGCAGAATGACACTGAATAACACCACCAACGCTGTCGAGGTATAAACAGACCTTGACTATCATACAACGATGTACCACGTACTGTAAGAGCTCTACGAGAAGAATAAATATGCTCCAGCGAAGAAGATGTTCGAAGTGGAAGCAAATGGAAGAAGATGAAGGAAGATGCCGTCGTCGCCTCTTAAGGGGAAACCAAGAGATTGTATGAGACACTTAGGCACTTGTCAAAAGGCATACCGTTGCGTTCCCTCTGAAGAAAAAACTTCTTAAAGATTCTTTACAGGCTCCTCTGTGGACTAAAACCCCATGAAAGAGAGGGAGCAAAGACCATTTAGTTCTCTCTGTAATGTAACTCGGCGCTGGGGTATGCTCAATGATGGTCAATTGTAGTATTGACGTATCAAAACAGTACCAATTCGACTATATGTTCCACCTATAACAATCCCAGAGGAATCGCAAATATTACCCACATTTAAATATCAAATATTGCATTAAAATATAAAGAATTAATTTGAACCACAGACTCACCGGGGGGATGAGTCATTGATTTATGAAGAAAAAATGATTCAAAAGTCGAAACTCGCTTTAGTCGTTATACGATTTCGTAGCGTCAAAGCTTAAAAACCGTATGTAACTCAGAAAAAATTTAGATTCCTGAGTTTAAAGATCTTACAGATGGATTTCCAGCTATTTTATCGTAGTGTGGTCTACATGAAAAGTTTCATCTAAGCTGGAAAGATTTAATATTGAACGCCTTTATCAGTTGTGGTATCATACAATATTATTCCTTCGCGAAACCGACTCGTGCCTTCGACTAGACCCGAAGCGGAAGAGAGAGAGCGGAACTTGAGAAAAGAGGCGTACACTGAGAAAGACGTTAGAGGATCCTTCGATTTGGGTAGTTCTCTTAAAAATGACACCTCTGCTTTTGAATTGAGCAATCTGAGATTGAGTATGGTCGAACGATTTTTATAGCAAACAAGATAACCCTCTTAACGGTTAAGAAAATACTCTATGGAAATCTTTAAAATATTACAAAAAATGATTCTTAGAAATTAAATTAAGTATATATTAATATATATGTATGATAATAGTATATTGACTTATTTAAAACTATTTACAGAAACTTTATCAAATTGTTGACACACATATGTATGTATGTATGTATGTATGTATGTATATTATTGAAAACGATTATCAAACAACTGCTGGGTTAGTGGACTCTAACGACTATTTACATACAAATGTATTTATACCTATGTATGGATGTATATTATTGATATATTTACATACATATTACATACCTACACATATACGATTCTCGTATTGTTCTATTTATTTATAGTAAATTATATGCATAGCACGAACAACTGAGAGATAAAGAAGCGCAGATGGCAAAATGCCGTTGGTGACCAGTCAAACAAGCGCACATACAAATAAATGCCCACAAATAAGAAAATTTAATAATACAAAAAATTAATATATAAAGTAAATAAAAACAAACTGAGAAAGCAAATGAGCGCAGCACCAACCAAAGAGTTGGTTTGAAGAGATATTTTTTGTCGAAAGAGAAAATACATAAATTGAGAGATTTTTATAAGGGTACCTACATACATATATACATAGGTACAGTGTGCAGCGTTCGGTTTGCAGTAGATAAATTGTGATTTTTTAATTAAATTCTATTACTAGAGTTTGCGCGGAACCTCTATTATGTAAACGCATGAAAAAAAATAAAATTCATGCACATACATATAAGCCTAGACAAAGAACTATCAATGTATGTGTAAAATTCCAGGCAAATCGTACATAAATATGAATCCTTCCGATAGATTGGTCAAAACAAAAAAAGAAAAAAAAATGTCTCCATACATTGATATATGTAGGCAAAGAGCCATCTACATCCATAGGCTCCATATATTTAGCAAAATCGAGCCAATTAGTGGATTTCCCACTCTTGGAAGCTCAAAGCTAGTTTTGTATAGAATTTTATGTAAATTAAACGATAAATAAATATTTTTCGAATAGATCGAAAGCAAGTAGTCTTCACGAAAGAAAGAGTGTTTCTCATATCAAATTCGGCAAACTCGTTGAAAATCGAACGATTCAAAAATATATTAGATTTTCTCCCATAGATCGGTCACATCAGTTTCACATCTCAGAAAATCCAATGCCTGCGTCAGTGCAAAAAACACTCTTCAAAGTTTCGGATCTCTACGATCAATGGTTTGAGCTGGAGTTTGATCCGTCAGTCTTTGAGTACAAAGCCTTTTATATACATATAATATGTAGATAATATTTAATACAAAATGGCGTTTAGCTTAAGTAAGTATTTTTTTTATTTATTTTATGTGACTTTATTTTATTTAACCTTATTTGACTTTTTTCTTTAATATTTCTTTTTGTATTTTGTATTATATATACATTATAGTTAATTTGTATTATGAAATAATTTTTTATTTAAACTCGTTTTTACTTATTTTTATTCTGTTTTGTTTAATTTATAATATTTAATACATTTTAATTTATCATACTTTATTTTATTTAATTTAATTTAATTTTTTGTTGTTCTGATACTATGTACCTTATATTATTATATTATTATTTAATTTAATTTTTCTAAACTTATTTTATCCCATTTTATTTTTTTATTTTCTTTTAATTTATTCCTTTAATTTTTCTAATTTTATTTTATTTTAATTTATTCCTTTAATATTTTATTTCATTTAATTTTTTTTTCTTATTTTTTCTTAATTTTATTTTATCTTGTTTCGTTATTTGTATTTTTATTTAATTTTTTTTATTAATTTTTATTTCATCTCATTTAATGTAATTTTTGATATATTTTTTCATAGCATCTTATTTTTTAATTGATTATATTTTTATTTAATTTACTTTTATTTTGATAATCTTTTTTTTGTTCAAATTTAATTTTTCTAATTTTATTTTATACCATTTTGTTTGCTTTTTATTTTATTTTTATTTATTCCTTTAATATTTCATTTATTTCAAATAATTTAATTTTTTAATTTTTTTCTAATTTTTTTTTTAATTTCATTAAATTTTTTTTCTAATTTAGTTTTTTTAATTTAATTTAATTTTATCTTGTTTTGATATTTGTACTTTTTATTTAATTTTGTTTTTTTTTTATTATATTTTATTTTGTCTCATTTTATCTATTTTTTTTTTTGATATTTTATTTCATTGAATTTTATTTTTTTAATTGATTTTACTTTTATTTAACTTAGTGTTACTTTATTTTTATTTATTTAATTTTATATACTTTTATTTTATCACATTTATTTAATTATTCATTTAATTTTCTTTTATGTTGATATTATATACTTTTTATTTAATTAAGTATTTTTCATTTAATCTTATTTTGTATCATCGTTTATGATTTTATTTTATCGCATAATTTTAATTTTTTTATTTATTTCTTTTTAATTTTAATTTTATTTAATTTAATTTAATGTAGTTTTGATACCTGTACTTTTTATTTAGTTTTTTTATAAAATATTTTTGTAACTATTTTTTTATACTTTTTGATATTTTTTTTTAATTGATTTTATTTTTATTTAATTAAATTTAATTGTATATTATTTTATTTTCATTCATCATATTTATTTTAATTAATTTTAATTAATGTAATTTAATTTTATTTTCATACTTTTTATTTAACTTCGTTTTTTCATTTAATCTTATTTTACATAATTTATATATGTGTATATTTTAAATTAACACATATATATTATATTAAATAATTTTATTTTGCTTAATTTTTCATTTATTTCCTTTATTTATTTGTTCCATTTTATATAACCTTATTTGTACTTTAATTTAATTTTATTTTTGATTTTAGATTTATTTATTTAATTCAAATTAAATCTATTGCTATTGTTTTAAATTTAACGTTAGTGCGATATTTTATTATATATAATTTTTATTTTTTTGTTATTTTCTATTAAGTTGTGAATGCATTATTTTATTATATTATATTTTATTTTAATTTTTTTTCATATTAATTTATTGGTTTTTTTTTTATTAAATAGTTGTGAGTATGTATGTGAACGCAAACAACAATATATGCCTTGAAATATTTATCATTTTTTATTAAACAAATATTTTAATAACAAGTGAGTATTTATAATAGACTTATGTATCTTCATAAATATATTTATTTGTATGTAGTATGTATATTTGTATATATTTGCTCAAATCGTTAGACTAGACTACTGTTAAAACAATATTTATTCAATAAGTAGCTTAAGTGTTTTCATGTACAGTTGTACAAATGAGTAAACTTGTATGGATAAAAATATATTTATGTACATACATACATAGTATATGTAAATATGTTTACTTATTATGTACTTTATTAAATGCTTTGGCCTTATAGTTTCAAAAAAAAATGTTTCATTTAACTTTATGCATATTATTAAATATATTTTTATTTTCTAAATTAAAAACCAATTATTTATATTTTTTCACTCTCGTATGCATAAAAACAGACACCAAGCTACGCATACGAGTATATGATTTTCATATTTTCATACCTTTATCTCTTTCTTAATTAAGATATGTACTTATGTATATATTATAATTAACAATATTTTTTTATTTCATATATGGCTCTGATTTGCTCTAATATCACAAATTTTACTATGACTAAGATTTAATTTTTATTATTATTTTTACATACTTAGTTACAATATATTTTATATAATATATAATAATTATATACAGTTAAAATAAAAAACTTAAAAGTGAGAAATCCCTAGAAAGTTGAAAAGAAGTCGATAGAGTATAAATGTATATTCTTATAAGGCTCGCTAAATTCGAGACAACATCCCATAGATTTCGGCAAACCCACAAGCAATACCGTATTTGAGTACTTTTGCGCAGAACTCAGAATTTTTTAAATATTTGTTGAATTCCTCAAAAATGAGTTCTCTTAAAAATCCAGTGGCTTTCAAATTTCGGTCAGATCAAATGAATATTAATTATCTTATCTACACAAAACGGTACTAAATTTATGCTGCAACTACCCAACTTACATACCATCCGTCCCCAGCAACCTATCTCATGAGAGCGCCATGTAAACACAAATTTGCCACCGCTTGCCCATGCCGTTAGTGACGGTTGTCGCACAGAAACCAACGGCGATTTGATTTTTTCCGTAAAATCGGCTCGGCTCATTGCTCGTTGCTATACAAGGTTGCCAGTAGCGTCGGCTGTTATGGACGGAAGGTAAGTAAAATGAGTAGTTGCAGCATTACCCGTTGTCCTGCAATGCAATTCCACCGATATCATATATACATACATGTGTATATACCAAGGACAAACATGTTGAAAGCAATGAAAAAATTGCCAACCATTTCTTTGAGTACTGTTTTTTTGGACCACCTAGTTTCACTATTTTTTTTTTTGCCAATATTTCGGTCAACTCCTGTGCCTTTTGTTCTTCCATTGTTTATGATGGATCTTAAATTTCCTTTCTGCTAAGTTTTTTCCAATTAATTTCGTTTAAAAACTTGCCTATACCACTTCTTATGTTGTAAAAATATTTAACTGACGTTTGCTTACTCTTCTTCTAGCTCACTTTTCATTCACAATAAGCTACTTTTAAAGCTGCATTTGAAGCAAATTAAGAATTGTGAATCGAGACGAAGAAAATATGCATCAGAAAAAACAATATTTCTAAATGGTCGGGTACTGATGCTTGTTATTTGTTATCCCTTTTGCTGATCGAGTTATTCGGACTTATGACACAGAAATATTACATGGATCAAGAAACTATTATAACATTCAGTTTGTAAGAATGGATGTGTGAGTTTGCTTTAAGAAAAAGTAGCAGATATCTCACCAACTAAAAATAACCTTACTTTTGACTTTTATTGAAAGCAATTTTAATCATTTCCAACCTCATAATCTTAAATATTTTCTGCATAAATTAAACTATTTACATTTTGGTATCTCTCTTGGCTTTACACACTTACTTAAAAATTGCATATTATTTAACTACTAAATTGGCACTATAGAATTCACTCACCAGTTTTACAAAAACATTTTTTCATCTTCCATTTCACCCACAAAAAGTAACAACTTAAAGGCTATAACTATAAAGCACGTCTACTTTGCACCACCCACAGTGTGAGTGCGGCTAAAATCGCCAAACTGGGCATAAGCAATATGCGACCACCCGCCGCATCCACACTCGGCTCCACCGTGTGGGAAACAATCAGACCGGAGAGCAATAAATTTGTCGTAATCTCATGCGATTGCGCTTCAATTAGCACCGAAATGCGTTCGGACTCGCGCGCACAAGCTTCGATTTGCATGCGCATTGGTGTGGTCGAGCGTGGCACAAGCGCTACAAATATACCCACTTCCATGGTGAGAAAACCAGTCAATTGACATTCGGATAATTGCACGAGTGCGTCCAGAGCTTGCAATACACTATGCAAAGTGAGGAGATCCTTATTTTGTGCACGCACCGCATAGAGCGCGCGATCGATTTGTTTTCGTGAGTACACAATACGAAATGCGCCGGCACAGATGGCGCAACAAGCGCCCGGTGGCACTATTGTGCGACAATAAGATGATGGTAGACGCGCACATTTTACGGTATGGCAACGTGGACCCATATCGGCGGCGAGTAGACCAACTTGACGGCAGCGATTTCGATAATCAACGATTATATAGTCCGCCCAGGCGGCGCACTCGTGTGCGTAGGTAACGCCATTAATGCCACACACGGGACCCTGCATAGAGCAGGTACGAAAGCAGGAACCCCAATGTGCGAGTGTTGCGCGCGCTGCTAGCAGATGACAAGGACTTGCATGTGTGCGACGTTGTGTATCGCAGACGGGTTGCGGTTCCACGTTAGCACAAGCGGTGGTGAGATTAACTAGAAGTTGGACAAAGGATTTATAAAGTTTACTAAGCAAAAGTTATGCTTGAATAAAACTTACCGCATTGGTACTGCAAACACGGCCGATGCATTGATGAGAGACAGATTTTACGCTGCTCCAGACACTGTTGGCCATTGGGACAGTTATAGGCGCCCTCACGACAAGGGTGCAAAGTAGCACAAGCGCCATACTGCAGCTCATTATCCTGCATGCCCAGGCATTTCGCAATGCATGCCGAATGATAGGTATTGCCATTTGTGCCGCAGACAGGCACAAAGTGAGTAGGACAATTGCACGGTAGGCTGGTGTACGATGGATCGAGATAGTCTGGCGTGGAGAAGAGAAAATTAGTTCAGAAGTGGAATATTGAAGAAAGTAAACTAGGTATGCATACTCACTTGCTAAACGACACTGTTTCTTCGTGCACGTGATCTCGCCGGCAAAACAACTGCAGAGGTTACACTCCAAATAGAAGGAGGTGCCATGTGCATACTTCCAACCGCCGGGCAGGTAGCATTTCGCATAGGTAAAGCTTGGCAGCGGTTGACAATGTTCGATGCGACCCTCTGCGCTACAACGGCACACCTTAAATGCGCCCACCAAGTTATCCATAACAAGTTTGTCCACTTTATCAGCCGGCAGCACGGGTATACGTACATACGCGCCAATTGGTACCAAATAGTTGGAAGCCTCACCAAGACTACAGCCGGGCACACATTCATGTGCCGTACTTTCATTGCGACGTGCAATACACACTTCACCACCCTTGCATGGTTCACCCTTACACGGCACAGTCAACCCATGGTGACCACCCGTCTCTTTGGGCACATCACTCTCCTCACGATATGGACGCAACGAGACGCACGGCACATCATCAGCGGCAGATATACGCGCACACACCGAATCGGCATTCAATGCCCAACGCATACGCGTCCAATCCATGCACTCGCTCAATATCTCATAACAATCCTCACGACAAATGTGATTGTAGTGCAGCTGACGTGTGCAGGGTTTTATTTGCAGCGCACAAGCGATGGCCTTCCACAGTTCGGGCGCACAACGTGTCATATTCTTAATGGGCAGCTCAAAACCATCCAAGCTAACGGAGCCATTCTGTTGCCACATATTCAAGTCGGAACGAGCAGCTGCATCGGCGTCAACATTACAACTGCGAAAAAGCTCAGTTGGACGATTATTAAAATTGGTGCAAAAGCTAAGGCCATCACAACCCAGCGCGCAGGGCTCGTCCACTTCGTCAATGCACTGGCGGAGCTTCAGCTCGGTGCGTTCTGTCAAACAGGAGTCTTCTAAAAAGGCGCGCGTAGCGGTCCAATCATTTGAATAGGTCTGCAGACAGAGTCGTCGACATTTGGCATCGATAGCTTTCTCACAACAATGCAATTTGGCCGAATCGATGCCAATCTGATTGATCTGTGACAATTCGTTGGTGCTCTTTGTGGCTGGGACGAAAATCTTACGATCAGCTGTGAGGAAACACTGCCACAGCGGTTTGTGTGGCAACGGTATGCCACAACCGCCCACCTCCAGTTCTCCGATAATGATATCAATGCTCTCTGTGCTATTCAGCACCGAGCGACAAGCACTGCGACAACTGTCCACGTTGGAGTACTCACAGCAAGGGAGATCTGAAAACATGGAAACAATTCAGGAAAATATTCATATTTATTAACAGATTAACAGATTTAGAGGGTCACAGATTTTAATTAACCCTGTCAACTCAACTCAAGTTGAACGTCAAGTTGGCGTCTCTTCTCAACTTACATTTGTGGGAGTTTGTCACCGGCGTCATGCCCGTGATGTTGCTTATACATTGCAAGACCTCAACATCACGCTCCACGTGGCACAGGTCGTGTAGTCGATGGAGATTGTTGCGTCTGTATGTTTTATGTGATTCGAAGATATCGCGACAGGCCTGCAATAACAAAAACAGATATTGAATTTCTTATTAATTTAGTTGTTTGCGGCGAACATAGATGGATGGATGGATGGACAGACGTTGCAACTTTAATTAACCGCAAACCTGTCAATCAAGTTGATCAATCAATTATTGCCTCGGTTTTTCTTTGTATCTCTTGTTCGTAGTAGTGGTAATTCAACACAGCTAATGCCTTTGATTATTTATATTGATGATTTGGGCGTTAAAAGGAAGGAAAGAGGAAAGAATATTGATTTATGCAGAAAACTTCGTAAGTGGAATGGAACTGGTTGGGGCTTATGGTTGGAGGCTAGTCCTTTGGTGGTCCTTATGACAAGGTCTCTTTTAATAAATGTTAATACGATCCTTTCATCCACTACAAGGTTGAGGTATGATAGTTACCGAGTATTGGGGAAGGAGGTGAGTGAGTATGAGGAGCTTGAGATCTATACTCAAAAGATGCGGCGACTTATAGAGCAAACTCTTGCTGAACCCATACAGATGATCTAGCGAGTGATGCCCAGAGTATAGATAATTAGAGAGGCAACATTTCTCCTACCTGTTGAATGGCAGTGAAAATGGAATGTCAGGAGGTGTCGAACCCGATACCTCCAATCGATGACGACAAAATAGATATTTCTTTGTCCGATCCATAGTCCAATTTCGCTTGGATGAGACGCGTGAAAAGCAACTACACTACGGTATGGAAAGGAGCTGCCACAACGGCGCCATGTTCAATTCATACCACCTGTGTGGCTCACAACTACCACACAGCTACGTACGTACGTACATACATTCAAACACCCACCTGTAGACATTCCGATGTGCGCGCTGTGCCACAACATCGATCACCAGCCTCCTGATGTTCGAAACAGGCAAACATGTGTTGTTCATCACTTTTGCGACAAGCGTTGATTAGTTGCGGTTGCGTTATCGATTCGGATGTGGCGCATGCATTGCGACAACGCGGTGACAAACCCAAAGCACAGCAACGCCTACCCGACCAGTCAGCGCCACGGGCAACAGCTAAAAGAAATTAAAATAAAAAAGGAATGTATAATTGAAAAATGCTTAAAGTATAAAGTAATAAAGAAGCTTAAGAAGAATTTACATGTAGATCGATTAAATATAAGAATAATATAGATATGTATGTAGAGAGATGAGACAGAAATCATCAATAAATGTGATTAATACATGAAAGTTCTTGGGCAGATGTTTTCGCTTATGCGTTCTCTGAACAATCCTATTCTGATCGTAATAATTTAGATCGGCATATACCGCTGCGTCTAAACTCTTGCTCAAAATGGCTGTGTTTCATAACTGCCGACCGAAGAAATCGGATGTAGTTAACGTCTTAACCTCTGAAAAAGGTTCATGAAGAACTACTTTTTAAACGCCATCAAACTTCTAAAGAGTTTCTCGTTCCCTAACAGATGGCTCACAGAGCGCTGAAGTTCTAATAGTGCTTGGTCCGCCATCTACATTATGGTGTTTCGACCAAAGACGATTAGTAGTTTAAAGGAACTTTCTTTACCGAAAACACAGGCTATCGACATTCAGGAGAATTCCATTAGCCACAGGTCTTTCCGATCACGCTAAACAGCCCACGTTTAGGGCGAGTCTACATCAATTTTGCGACACGAAAAACGAAGGCGAAAAGGAATTGACGGAGTGAATTATCATAGGACAGGAAAAGAATTCGTAGACAAAACTTTTTCGATCATAACACCAAGTCCATTATAAGATATTTTTGGAGCTTTGTCTTGATGTTTTTCCAACAAATGGAGGGACCTGCAGTTTATACTTTGATATGATTTTTTGTGAGGAGCTTTTATTTCATGTCGTAAAAACACTCAATGGAGCGACGATTATTACGTAGGTGCAACTGTGATGACGGACGTCATTGCGAAAAATAAGCCTCAGCCAATATGTGAAGGTTTCGCAGGGAGCTTCGCAGAGTTATAAGTGAGATCATTCAGCTTATACGGGCTGATCCTTTACCTATGGAATAAGGTTGGTATCTATCCAAATAAGAAAGTTCCAAGTAGCATTGGTCTTTCTTCAAAGAGTCGTACCTTTTGAATATCACCAGTGTATACATGAATATGCAATAAGAATACATGCTTTTCGAACTGACTTTTGAATGAAGGTAGGTAAGAGTAGTTATGGATGTAGTACAATCGAGTCACTTGCCTTGCTTTATCTTGCGGTCGACTACCTACATTAAACATATCATATAGGATTACATTACCGTGTCTTTTGTCTTCCTCCTCAATGTTGCAGTATCTTTTAAAAGCAAATATCATCTTTGCTGCACGCCGTTCTATCTACAACTGGACTATTATGACTCCTGTTAATTCAGGGATGTGCTCTCTTTTGAGTGATAAAATTTCACGTGATCTTTTTAGATCCCGCCTTTCAAGGATTTTCGGGTATCCAAATCGTTGTTTACTCCCTGATTTTTTGTTTTTCATCTAAGGCGGTAAGGCGTTGAAGACCACGCTTAGTCTTTAGAATACTTTTATATTTGTTGTTAATATTTGCTGTCTCGTTTAACATAGGCTACCATATTTCCAGCTCATACAAGGCAGTTGGTCTTGTGGATGTATAAATCCAGTGTAAGCTCCTAAGGTTTAAACTCCACTCCTTTTTTTATACATATGTAGAAAGGACGAGAGAGAGAGAGAGAAAGGGATTTTGGATTACCCGCTCAGTCGTTTGCTCTTGTCAAAAAATTTTATCTTGGTTATCAGGCTTAGGCTAAAATCACTCAGTAACGGTGGGTTTTATGTTGGTATAGTTGAAATATCTAAGTGAAGAGAACAAATTCCACTATATATGAGTTGCGGCTGAACCCAAACTCTACTTCCTCCTCAATCAGTGCCTGACTAAATGTAGGTAAGTAGTGAGTTCTCCGCCTTGGCATTCCTCTGCTTGCTCAAATGGACACCTATTCGGCTTAATCATTCGAAAGCAGCATTTTTTTAAATAGCTTGGGAGAGGAAATTTACTGTAATCCTCTCTAGTGATTTTAGAGCAACAAAGGTTAAGCGGCGGCTTAGGGGCCTCAGATTCTTTGAGTCACTAAGTGTGAACTTACTAGCTTTGAAAATGAAGACTACAGTTGATACTTGTCTCTATGCCCATGGAATATTATTATTCTCTGAAGGTGTGGAAACACCTTCTTATATGCCACTTCTGATTATTATTTTTCTACACAAAAATGCAATTTTTGGTGCGTAATTTAATTAAATACAAAATATATATATATATAAATATATATAACATACCTTCTAATGTACGATTCATGCAACTCCAAAAACTAATCTGCATTGAGGGGCAATATTTTTTCAGTTCCAAACGCAAGCCACGGCCATTAGCGTTATCAGTAGAGGACAGCTGCACCAAGGAAAGCTGAAAGAGTGAGAAAAAAGGAAATAGTTTAAACAATATATGTATGTATATATGTATCTTTTGTCTGTAGCTTAAATTGCTTTTCACTTAAAATCAAGTTTAATAAATTACCAGATGTGACAGGCGCCAAAAGTGCGCCTTCATTGGCAACATTGGCAAATGATATAAAACAAAAAAAAAAAACAAAAAAAAAATTAAATAAAAAAAATAAATACTAAGTAAACTTGTAGACACATACTCGTACATATTTACATATGATATTGCGAAAAATTGATGAATGCACAGAGCTAAGCGAGCAAAATAGAGCAGCGACAAAAAAAAAAAAAACTAAAAAATAAAAATTCCAAAAAGGATTAAGAAAACAAAAATGTTTTGATTTTCAGCGAAACCTTGTGGTAATGCCTTGCAAGTTTCACGTCCGCGTTCCGTAATTTATGACTACCGTCGTTTGCATAGCACATGCGTATCGCCTGCTAACGGAATATTAGACACACTATCGGCCGCGTTAGCCGAGTGGTTAGCATTGCGTACTGCCATTCGGAAGGCTCGGGTTCAAAACCTGTTGTCGTACTAACATCCAAAAAAAAAGTTATAGAAAATTAATTTAAATAAAAAGTTCGAATTAAATTTTCTCATTGCGGTCGCTCCTCGGCAGGGATTGTCAACCCCTCCGGAGTGTATTTCGGGCGGTTTGGTATAAACTGTAGGCCCCTGCATTTACTGGAAAAACATTAAGACACAAAACCACAAATTGGAAGAAAAGCTCGGCCGAAAATCGCTTCAGTGGTTACATGGCGCCAATTATATATATATATATATATATATATATATATATATATATATATGTATATAAATATATATATATATTTCACATTTGGCACATGACTTAAAGTTGTTTTGAAAAAAACCAGAGATAAAGTATAAAAGTCGCTTGAAGTTGCGAATAGGAACAAGCCAATGACACAAAAACTGGTCAGCGCCGAGTTACCTAAATCCAAGAGTCTTTAAACATTGGGTTAGCTTCTCTATACTGTGGTTTAAGTTTGAGGAGATCACACTATAGAGGGTCACCTTGTTAGTTTGGCATCGAACGGTACGGAACAGGCGAAGTCCTTTCCAATTATGACAACTCTTCCGGTTTGGCTCGACGTTAGCTAACACAGAAGTAGAATTAGCCTATTTCCTTGCCGCTTACAGATCTTTTTCTCACGAGTCTGAATACTTGGCCAATGAATTTACCAGGCCAGCACATTCTAGTGTGAGCAAAGCGTATCATTTGGTAGACTAGGCTTTGGCGAGCATCCCAAATTATGATGGATCGTCTATTCCATTCTAGTGGATTCATTATTTCAGGAGGTTCTGAAAGTCGGTCATCAGATAATCTTTCTTTTTTTAGTAAGCTGTCTTATTTTTTCATATAATTTACTGCAAGATAAGAAGGATAACTCGTTAGGTCGATTGTCTCTTTATCGGCCTTCAGTATCTACTTTTAACTCTGTGGGAAACTAATTGTTTTGCTGTTTTTTATAAGCTTAAAGAGAGCTAAATAGACTACATGGAGAATAAAAATTCTTGGCTGACTGTTTTCAGAAAATAGTGCGTAGATATTGATGCGAGGCGAGTCGACGGTACGACCTCGAAGCGTAATCACATCTACAACATTGAAAACATTTCTTAGGTCCATCGCAACATAAGTGATTTGGTTACGATTCTTTTGATCCGGGGGCAACCATGGCAGTTTAATGAATTTCCTTGTTTTTGGAAACTGATGCTAGAAAAAAACAAAACAGATGAGATGTCTTGACATGGCAGCCGGCATAGATGCATTCCAGGAGCTCATGGAACTTACCTTCGTCCATGCCTTCCATCCTTAGCGAGATCTTTATGAACCGGATGAATGACAGAACATATTTAATGCTAAATTTACGCTCCCTTAAATGGCCGCTGTTGTAAATATCCTACAGCCCAACACTCTTGTCTTTGTCCCGTCCATAACACTTCTTGAATGGCGATAATGTCAGTCTTAATTTTTACAAGAAATATTCAAATATCAGGGTGGGAACATTATCTCAAAGGACTGAGCATTTCAAGCGCATGATCTCAAATCGTGATAGTCAAAACGTTTACTGTGGTCGTCATCAAAAGGTGGATCTCCCATCCCATGCTTAAGTGTGTGTTTTTTTCATTGGAGTTTACCCTCTCACTTAAGCTCATCTCTAAATGGTTGCCCATTGATCTAACGGCGGAAGTCCTAAGCTGTTGCAAAATAATCGCTTCTAGCCTCTCTCAAGTGAATGACAGTCACAAACATTCCTCTGGTGTGAAAAATAAGATAGTTTGCTTATTATTTTCAAGTGAAAAATATTAGGAGTTTTTGATTTTCCACTTCTAGTCAAGGATTTCCATTTTTCAAAAGCTAAAATACTAAGAGAGAGAAGGAGAGAGTGAATTCTAGAAATACTAAGTGAGAGGAAGAGATAATTAGGATGTAGCGAGGTAGATGGAGAGAGAGAGAGACTTCTAGAAATACTAAGCGTGAGAGAGAGCGAGTTCAGAGAGACTTCCTCTGCAAGAGCTTAGGAAAGTAAAATTATTAAACAAAATATTGTAAAATTTTTGTCTAATAACAGTTTTGCGTTCAAAAGAGAGAGAGAGAGGTAGAGATAAAGAGAGAGAGAGAGGTTAGAGATAAAGAGAGAGAGAGAGAGAGAGAGGTTGGAGATAAAGAGAGAGAGACAGTGACAGAGAGAGATAGGGATAAAGAGAGAGACAGTGACAGAGAGAGATAGAGATAAAGAGAGAGAGAGTGAGAGAGTGGTAGATATAAAGAGATATAGATAGAGAGAGAGAGAGGTAGAGATCAAGAGAGAGAGAGAGTGAGAGAGGTAGATATAAAGAGAGAGAGAGAGAGATAAGAATCTACACCAAGAAGTCCAATATTTTAAGCAAAATAAAAAATGTTTACGATAGCAACAATACTGAGAGCCATTCCATATGCGAGTATGAAAAGTCGTAATGACTTTGTGCATATTTTTGAAGACATACAAATTTTTCGTTTATTACTTATTATTATTTATTGTTATTTTATTTCATATATGTAACTTTGCATTAAAAACAATTTATATTGCTATTATTTTGAATAAACACTATTAATTTATAATTAACAAACACCTTTCGATTCTATATATTACATAAAAAAAATAAATTAATATTTATAGACACTTCAATGCACTCAACTGCACACCTTAACTTCTCAGAGAGTTATTGAACAACTATTTAAATAATTCAAATAAATAAGTATTTTATGAAACTAAATATCATTACTAATAACAAACAATTCTCCGGTCAAAGCTTGTTTGACATAATAAAAAAAAATTTAATTTATAACAAAAAAAAACAACAAAACAGTAAGAAAAATAATAATATTTTAGTGGTTCAGTGCGCATAACAAGGAGTTCATGTCTTAATAGAGACTGCAACTCTTAACGTTAGCCGTAAATAAACCGCCAAGCGATTTCCAAGCATTTAAGCCCAATCCGAATATTGCTTTTTTACATACATATACATACATATGTATGTATCTTGTATGCATATTTTATGTTCATATATTAATTACAAGCGTAAGTGGAGCAACCGTAAACTGAAGCTTACTCGTAGTGAGAGCTGCAAACAGCCACCAATTGACCGCATAGATTCTGGCACCTGCAGTCAGTCAATTTGGTTTTGCAAGGCGAGGAGTACGGCGCTATGGCTATATATTATATTATATATATATAACATGCATAAATGACTTTGCAATATTTTATAAATCTATTTAAAATGTTTTTATTTGATTTTTTATTATTTTATTACTTTAGCATTGGTTTGACATGACAAACGGCAATCGCACCAATACCGGTAGTTGTGCCGCGACTACTGGCAGACATTGAATGGCATTTAAGTATAATTTTTAGTAAGGAATTCTTTATTATTACCAAATGCATTGTCTAGAGAAAAATGTATTCCTCTATATAGGAAAAAATTAAAATATAAATATATATATTAAATATGTTCCTTTAAATGGAGAAAAGATGAAGATATTAAAATAGTTTTGCTTAAATAATGGGTTCTTATGGAAAATATTACATCATAAACAATTATTGCACTATATTTAACTTTTTTAATTTTATTTTATTACCTTTTAATTATTTAAACTTAATTTAAAACAAGCAATTAAATTTAACCTTTTAAATTTTATTTAATTTTAAATTTTTTTAAAATTGTTTTAATTTATTTTATTTTATTATATTTCTTTATTTCACTTTATTCTAATTTCTTCTTGATTTTATTCGATTAGATTTTATTTCACTTTATTTCATTTTAGTGTTTCTTTATTTAGTTTACTTTTTTATTTTTATTTTTTTATTTATTTTATTTTTTTATTTAATTTTTTTTTTCATTTAATCTGTTGTTAAATTAATTTAAATCATTTATTTTTATTTAGTTTTATTCTATTTTATTTAACTAAATTTAATTTAATTTAATGTAATCATTGGTTTAATTTAATTTATTTAGTTTTATTATATTTGTTTTATTTTATCTTATTTCATTTTATTTGATTATTTTTTTCATTTTATTTATTTATTCTATTTGATCTATTTTACTTTATTTTATTTTATTCTCTTCTTTTGTAACTTTTATTTTTATTTCTTCTAATGTGATTTTATTTGAATTGATTTGATTTATTATTATTTTAACTTTATTTTATTTTATTCCATTCTATTCTATTGTATTCGATGAGTGCATAAGTTCGTGCCCGATTTCAAGTGCAAACTAAAATTGAAATTTTTTGAAGAAAGCGCTTTTATTAATCAATTATGTATTCGCCATCATGTTTGGCAATCCACTCCCAACGTTCAACCAATTTAGGGATGCCTGATTCATAGAAATCGCGCGGTTTCTCGTTGAAAAAGGTGTCAAGGTGGTTTTTGACGTCTTCCACATTTTTAAATTTTTTCCAT